ACTCATCCAAACTCATGTCAACTTCGACTCCCCCAAGCTCTCTGGAAAGGCTAGTGGTGCCTGCAGTTAATAAAAAAGCCCACTTTGTTATATTGAGCCCTAAAAAGAGAACATCAGCTTGCTCTGCATATCAACTCAATTCTGCTTTCCCAGTCCATGCATTAAAACTCCTCTCCCCTCACAAACCAATGACTAATCTGTGTCTCAAAGCCTGAGGGAACACATCTAATCTGGTTAGTGTTACTGCTGCTTGTTCATATTAAGCACATTATTCTTACTAAGATATTTGTCCTGAGTCTCCTGAGAGAGAGTGCTGCAGGTTAATCATACATATGTAAATCCAATTTCCTTTCATGCATTTTAAATGTGTTGCCTGTTGGAAAACAAAAGGGCAAGGGAGAGCCCTGCAACAGGCACTTGTGCTGAACCAGGGGATGCTTCCTGGACGCTCACTTCTCATACACTCCAGTCTGGGGATTAGAAGCACAAGAAGAGAATCTGTCAGCCAACTCGTTTCCTAGACTAAGAGGTCCGCTGAACAAAAAACACCCCAGACAACAGTAAACCAAACTGCAGGATTTCAAATGAGCTGCAGTGAGCCACTCAAACCTTACCAGCTCAAGTTGACTATCGTCTCCCTCTGGTGGCCAACCAGCCGCAGTCACAATCTGCTGGCAGCACAGAGCTGTCCCATTGCTACCCGTCCCTGCACCGAGGCACCTTGGGCACCCCTGAGCCCGGAGGGCTGTCGGGCAGCACTTCAGAGCACGGAGCCGAGTCAGGGAGCGTGGCAGACCTGGGCACCACGGCAGATGTCATGAAAGTCTTCTAAAAAAAGAAGAGATTCATTACCAAAAGAGCCAGCATCTGCCCAGTCCCTCCAACTTGACTGCCTTAGGACTATCTACAACTAGGCTCTCGATTTTTGATAGCAATACTGTGTAGCACTAGGAGCACCCATCTTGAAACAGGGCCCCATTGTGCAAGGAGCTATACAACATCTGGACGCAGACTGCCTGCTCTTTGGGATAGGAAATGAGATGGTGAGAAAGGACAGAAGATGAACAGGATGAGAGGGAGCAGAAGGAAACAAGACAACACTGGTCAGCATAAGAGATAGCAGTCAGTGAGATGCTCTCTATGGGTTAGGACATGCAGCACAAAGACAACAGTTCAATGTCTTACTAGAAGACACCAAGGCAACATTTTTGTACTATATTTTCTAGTTTCAACAATGACTACAATTGCTACCAGTGTACTGCATGTTCTTCCCAATATAAAAGGGCCTAGGAGTGGGAAGGCTGTGTACTGCTGCTGACTGCTCTAGTCACAGCCAAGAAGGGGCTGCCATTTTCCCCAAGTAAGAGTCTTGAGTCTGTTCCACACCAGCAATAAAGGCCTCTGGAAATCTGAGCTAGCCTCTACACAGCAAACCTCCAGACAAATCTGAAACCCCTGGAGCTGGTCTCGGCACCCTCCAAGAGGACGGCAGACAATTGTATTTCCTTGCAGCACTATCTCATCTTGAGGTAACCTAACACTTCAGCTACTGAAGCCCAAAAGCCCCAAGCAGCTGTTCTTTCTGGTAAGAGATGACATTTCTACGATTGCTCAGAAAATTGCATGAGTTTACAGGCCTTCATAATTATGTTACCATAAATCCCTAAATTAAGGGGTGGGTACAGGCCAACACACTTCTCACAGCTTATCAGAGAATTAGTTCAAGAGAGAGAGAAGAATTTGGTTTTGGCCACTGCAGAGTCACTCCACAAAAAAAAACCCAAACTCACTCTGGCCTTCATGTGCCTCAGAGAAAACTCTGGAGCAGCCTTAGGCCAATTCCAGTTTCTCCATCCCTCATATGGTGCAAGAGCTCCATTTCTTTCATGTGTATTTATTGCAGATTTATACCAAGGCTGAGAGGCTTGGCTCACAGCCTCACTCACCACTTCCAACCCCGTGTGCAATTGCCCACGCCTCAACATACTCTGTAGCACGCCATTCCTGCAGAAGGGTAGCTGGAAAAGACTGATCAGGATTTTGGGTGAACTTCAGCTACAGCTGTTTCATTTTACTGCAGAAAAAGTTATAGCAAATTATGTCTAAAAATGAACACATTCATGCAGTAACACCTCCCTCCTACAATCAAGTTTCATGCTCTGGAGAGCAGAGATTAGCGTTTCTCACGCATTCAATGATAAAAAACAAACAAGGAAAGAGTTTAAGAGGAAGATTCTAAAAATCTCAGATTCTACACTGCACATCTGATGCCAAGATAGGCTGAGGTTCTGGTGGACTTTGCTGTTTCCCATAAGTGTTTTTCTTTTATAGTTCCCATAATCACATGTTCAAATGCTTTCTGCTGTCATGTGCCAGGTCAGTCAGACGCAAGATGGTAGCAGAACAGCCAAAACCATACAAAACATAGTAATTCACTATGGGAACCAGGAGTTGCAGCCTGATTCAACTGACCAAGTCAGCCATAACACTGTGAAAACAAGAAGAGATCTTATCCAAATCAAGCATAATTTCCCCATTTTCTCATTCAGGTATCTGAAGATAATCCTTCTCTGTAGCTCTACAACTGAGGCAAACAAAAAGCTGAGCAGAGGAACTCAATGTTCAAAAATCCAATTTCCCAAGCAGCACATCTTGACACATCTCAGGTCAAGTGGCCACGTATGGAATCACGGATCCTAAGACATCAGGCAACTCCTTGCTATTGCTGGAGACACAAGCTGGGGCATGTAGGATTCCAGCTTGAAGTGTGTGGGCATGATTTCTCTCCTAGCCCCAAGTCCATGCCAGGTTGTCAGGATAAATGGAGGCTGTGGAGTCAGCAACAGGTCACTGACACCACTCCCTCTCCAAGACATCACAAGAAACTGGTCATCAGGACAAACCATGTGGGCAGCCAGATGGTATCATGGATCCTGCAAAGAGAAGCAGAAACTTTAGAACTTACTTCATGCTAAAGTAATCCAGCATGCTGAGTGTTCCTCTTCACACCCAGAGTTTCCCTGAAAACTCCAGCCTCAGCTTGGCCCCTTTCCCATGAGTAATACTGGTCATGGCATGTAAGGACATGTCCATACGGTTTGCTGTGTAACATTTTGCTCATGACAGGTTTGCAAAGTCACCCAACTTTTAGTGCCCTGACCCAAACTCCAGCAGCTCTAGACTCACAACCCAGGGGACACTGGAACATGTCTCCGGATTCTTCATAACGCTCACCACTGCTTTATCCGAACTGTCTTCTCTGACTGCATAACACAACTTTGTTCCTACAAGGAGCTTCTAAATAACCCAGCACAATGCTACAGAGGCAATCCCAGAGACCAACATGCACTGCTCCCTCTCTTCTTTGGTAGCGCTCATGGCTCGAAAGCCAGAATCGAGGCTAGATGCTGGTTTCATAATATGCAAGAACATCTGCCTAGTCATGTGGTAGAACACACGCAGTCAGCCAATGCTATTCTGGCTGATGATGGGCTAAATCTTTGTACAGTTCAGGAAACAGTGTTTTCATCGTTTTATAGGCAGCAATGTTAATGGACACAGAATCATGCTGTAGAATCTTTTCAAGTTTTAGCTATGATTTTAATCCTTAAACTACAAAAAAAAAAAGTCCAAGGAAAGCCAGTAATAAATTGAATGCTTTTTGTCAGAGCTGGAATAAGCTCAAGCTCAGAGATCACAGAAATTGGATATTGCCCCTGAAGGCAACAAACTGTCAACTTACTAACTACTCCATTGTTAACAGACACTTCCAGGTATATTGTTTCCACTCTGCAATCTGAAAGTATTTTGTACAATTTAGAAAGATCCAAAGGACTCAAATGCCCCCTCTTCTCCTGGCTTCATCTAACTCTCTTGACAGTACAGTGAAGCACAAGCAGTACAAATACCTGCAGCTCAAAGAATTGGGTAATACATAGCAAGATGAAAAAGTAATTGCACCAACTGCATTATTAACTTACATAAAAGATAATGTAAAATAATTTCTGGCATTACCAGCTGCTTCAGCCCAGTTTCCAGACTACTGCAGAGAGGCCTCATAGTATGCTGTGAACCCCAGCCCAGTGTCCTGTCTCTTCCCAGAAGCTCACAGGTCCTGGGTTCAGTCAGGCATCCTGAAAGGCTGCAGGTAGAGAACTGTTTTCTTCAGCAAACCTCAGCAAGACATCAGAAGATCTGGAGGCCACTCACCCATGGACAGGACTAATCAGTTTGGTTCCCTCTGTTCAGCCTTGAAAGAACACTGAGCTGAGAAGGCAGCATTTTTAAAATATTTTATTTATCATACGAACTATTTACAAAATCAGCTACTACAACCACTGGCTTCCAAATTTTGGCTGAACTCTGCCAGAAATTCACCAGAGGGAACTAGGATTTAACCTGTGTCATCCACAGCTCCTGGTTTCTAAAAACATGCAACATGGCCTGGAGGTGCAGGCTGAAGCCAGGCCCTCTGCACCTCGAAGCAGCTTCAGGAAACACGGAACCTGTCTGAGATGATACCAGGATCCTGAAGACTTCTACAGAACAGCCTCTATTAAGTGGGAATAAACAAAGGATGAAAAGAAAAGTAACGAGCCTCTGCCAGAAGTAACATACAGTACAGGTGACCGAAGCACATTGTTAAGGGCAGCATAAACAGTGACCGTACTGGAAAATGGTATAAAGCTAGAGAGAGGGAAGTTTAGAAACACTGTGATGGATCTCAGGAACATGGGACCAGCTAGGGGCCTGTAGAAACAACGGGGAGGAGTTTAGTTGCCTAAGAGCACCCATCACAGTTCTGACTGCACTTGCGTTAAGAAGTCCTTGGCATCTGCACAGCTGCTGGGAAGCATAGGGTGTTGGCTGCAATGTCATGAGAAGCATTTAGGAGCTCTTTCCAGCAGAGGAAGACTGCCCAGTGCCCAGCTACTTCACCATCAGAATAAAAAAATCCAGCTCAAGAGAATAAGGGAAAAGATTCCTGAGGAAGATGTCACTGGCAGAGTTGGCCCATAGCTACAAGGTGAGACTACAAGACAAAGCTGTAATGTGAGAAAAGCACCAAGCTACACCTCCCAACAAACAGGAGTTAAGCCGAGCACCACCATCTCCCCTCAGTCCCTGGAGAACACAGTGAAGTGGTGGCATGGAGAACACAGGAGCTGTAACTCTATGACCATGAAAGCCATCTACAGTGTAAATAAAATGGTACCATACTCTCCACCCAAAGGAGGTCAGGATCTTGCAGAACAGAGCATGCACTAAAAAAGGGAGAACAGCCACTACTTAAGTGATCTATCAGAGCGCAACAGTGGCAACTCTCAAGCTGGCAGCCTCCCAGCACCTCGATGCCAGTGAGGGAATGAATTCACAAGGCAAAGAAATCCCCCTGAGTAGTCTCAATCTCAGCTGGCTGCTTTTTGGCACCAAAATGGCTTTTTTTCTGTATAGGAGTAACACACCTAGCCCAAGAACGGCTAAGATGCTGCTTTAAAAACAATTTTTAGATGTAGAATGTCTCCCACCAAATTCCCAGTCAATTCAACTAAGCTACACTGAAAAAAACACAGAGTTATCTTAAAATATCCACAGTTTGTCTGGATCAGCTTGAGGGCAGCAGAAGGGGACTGAAGAGGATGATGAGACTTTTTATCTAATACAGTGTTCTAAAATTAGCTCAAGGATGCCAGTCAGACTCCATTCTGGAAGAAATCCAGCAATTCCATAATCCAGTGAAAGCTTACATTGCAGGTAGTAGCAATGCAGGTTTCGCACACTTTTGACTTCTGTGTGTCTTTGACTCCTGACTTGAACTGTTTAAGGAACTTAAAGGAAGAACTTCAAGATCTTGAATTTTACTTCACTGAAGAACTCATCAAGATTCGCAGATTCTCCTTTCCTCTATTTCCCTGTGAAGGGCTGAATGGACCGCCAGTGACACCACACACCAATCATAAGTTTACTTATCATGCTGGTCTACCCACCCCTCTCCCCACAAGCCAGACGATGGTGAGCACAGGCTGTTGAGTGATCATTTAAGTGAAGTTCTAGTTAACATTCTGTGCTGGAAAGCCAGCAGCACTGAACGGAACAGGAGGAAAGGAGAGGTGGACAAAGAAGGTAGGAAGATTGGGACAACAGAAAGCCAGCTGCTCTCCAGGCACCAGCACCCCTCTGGAAACTGCCTGAAACGCAGTAGCGAAAGAGAAGCCTCAGGCTGCTGCATGATAGAGGTAGAAGCCAAGACCCTGTGGGATGTTGGGGTGGAGGTACCACGTTCTGCCCGGTACCATCATCCCAACAACACACACATCCCAGTGCACACTGTAGCTGTTTACTGACCTTTAGCTGTTACTACATAGCATATACACCCTGAAGGTGAATGTGGGATAGGCATTGGTGCTCAGCATTGAGGGATCATACTCATGCCCATACTCTCTCTCCTGAGGAAGGGAAAAGAAGGCAAGGGCATGGGACAGCTTCCTGTGCAACATCAACTGTCAGAAACATTCAATGGAGGAGAAACTCCTCTTCCAGTTCATTTACAGAGGCTCATTACCAGCCACTGCTGGAGAAGGACGCTTCTGCTGCTGGACCCTGGCGGAGGTAGTACAAGATCACTGTCGGGGCCAGCACTTGTGCTCCGATGAGATTGTTCTCCCCTTCGGGTTACTCCCTCCAGTGGATTCTGCCCACTTTTCTCTGTGGCGCGGGTGACAGCAGCATCCAGAGCAAGATGCAGAAGAACCAGAAACCCTTCTGGGTCAGGTGCTGAAAGGATGTGTTCCCATACTTTTCATGAGTCAGAGTTAGATAAGCTATTGGAGAGCATCACTGGGGGAGCTGAACCAAGACATGGTAAGTTAATAAGGCTTCCCATGAGCCAGGTTTCCAGCAGAGCTCCATGCTGGTCTTCCCTCTTCCTCCCAGTGTGCTACAATAAAAGGCAGCTCAGCAGATCTCCTGCACCTCAGTGTAACTTCTGCTTATGAACTTCATCTTCTCAAAGAAGGATGGGTGAGTGTACACGGTGTACAGAACAGAAATCAAGTGCAATTATCTCCTTGATGAATGCACCACAGTCCTTTTGCTGTTCCGCACTGAACCAAAGGGAGAATGAGGGAAAGGGTAAAGATGAGTTCTTGATGACACATTTGGGATATGGAAAGGCCACGTGACATCTTCTGGATGACAAATTCCTTTACATGGAGTCTTTGCTTTGCCTCCATTGCCCCTGTGAAGGGAAGGAGAACAAGCAGAGGACTGAACCTGGATCTTGCCACAAAGAGCCAGGAGGCTAAGTGGTCTCCTAGAAAGGGGCAATCACAGCATGCCAAAGCCCTCACAACCCTCGCTGATAGCTAGCTGCAGCATCCTGTGCATTTCTTCATAGGAGTCATAAGTAGGGAGGCACAGCTGGTTAAAACTGTAAAAAAAAAGAGAAAAATTCCATTCAGACTAGATCTGAGAGGGGACCACCCCCACCAGCTGCTTTTAGAAGGGTTAACACGAGCATCACACACATTACGTGTTATGCACTGCTTGCCCACCACAACTACCTGCTGTCATTCCCAAAAGCACAATGCAGAAAGCCCTACCACCCCAGGATACTTGCCAAGTGTGGGCTGTCGGCAAAGTACTGTGAGTTGGAGCTGCAATGATCTGGAAAGATGGACAGAGTGCAGCAAACCCTCCTGGGGGCAACTGGGAGGAACCAGTTGTGAATTGCAAGAGCCTGGCCAGCTCTTCCTGGGTGAAACTGGAGACCACGGTCCAAAACCATGTCATTACCTGTTAGGAAACAGGAAAGGTAAAGCCAGATCAGTCAAGCAAATCAAATAAGCATATAAGCAAGTTGCAAGATCAGTCAATTAACCTTGCAAGCAAGTGCTCTACTAACAGCATTTTTTTTGTTTTACCAGGGTGACACAGAGACCAATATTACATAGTTTCTTCTTATCAGTTAAGAGATGTCCCACACTACTACCTCCTACTAGTCCCTTCCCTTAAAGCAGAAAGGCTTCTGCTCTCCCCACAGAGATTTTATTTTTAGAAATACCTGCATAGGCAATGAAGTAGGTTTACAATGAAGAAGCTCATTTGCTTCTTGCAGTATGCTAATCTCTTGCTTTTTCACATTGTCTGGTACTTTTGCAGGAAGGTGAAACCATCCAAGTGTTTACAGCTAGAAGCCTGTACTCCCAATCTCTTTTCATCTTGAGTGTTTTGGCAGCTTTCATTATTTTTCTAAATGAAGCTGCTACCATTTCCATACCTCTCCCACTAGGAAAGGCAGGAAGGGATAGGAACAATTACAGGGTACAAGTTTAGGCTACTACATCAGTAGCCTTTACCATGGAACTGAATTCCAAATGCTCCACGTGGGCTGCAATCATGATGTTCAAGCATCTCAGAGATAGGTGTATCGCCACAAATGTCTTCAATAGCAATAACTCCCACCAATTCCTCCTGATTCCCTGCTGAACTGTTCTTAATTAGTGCTTTGTTGGATTTTCTTAAAAGGAACACCTCTGCTGATTTATACCTGCTGGTAACTGATTAAGCATCATCCCTAGTCAGCCAGGCTGAAAGAGCTCTCTGGGGAGAAACATTAAGTATAATACATGAAGTCCTACTCCTGACCCCTGAATCTTCCAGTTTGTCCTTCTGGAGGCCTAATTTCCAACAATGAAATCTGTTTCCAGTTTAAATTGCCTTCTGCTGTAGTTGGGATAGATGGTTTCAGCAAGCAGGAGGGAGAAACCCGTTCACTTGCCTTCTCACGGAAGTGCCAAGATCCTCCTACCACTACAGCATGTGCCTTGAAGTCACAGACACAGATATCTCCAGTACCACACATCAGCAACTGAAAGGCAAGAGACTGCAGTCAAAGTCAGGAGCTTGGGAAACAAGGCAACAGCTACTGTGCAAATTAAAAATATTTAAAATGCTTAGAGAAGAAACATTTTGGCTTTATTCCAGATCCAGAACGTGCTTCATTTGTCAGAAAGGAGGGGAAGTAATGGTAGAGATGTTTTAGGGAGGCAGCGATTACCTCAAGCTCATTCTCATCAAAAATAGCCAGGAGGTTCTCAGGAACTAACTCACTAAGACCTGCAAGAGAAGAGGAGAGAAGAGCAGCAAGCGCTATCCCCTGGGACATAAAGGCAGAAAGGAGTAGGGAGCAGAGAGCATGTTACCTTTCAGGAAGTGGTCCACCTCCTCTCTAACCTGACTGGCCAGTCTGTACTGTGCAAGCAGATTTAGATACAAGATCTTGTTTTCATTGGTCACTGGTACTTGAGCCCCTCCTGTCACCAGTTCCACCACCTGAAAACAGAAGAACACATGATGTGAGTGTGACCAGCAGCATTCTCCAAACCTGAACTCCCAACCAGAATAAACCCAAGAAAGGACCTACTGCCCAGAGTAAATTCTACTTTCTGGGGCACGTAGCAGAGTACTCAGCCTCCCCTGGTACAGGCAGAATGGATTAAACTGCCCCACCTTCAGGAACTGCCTCCCTCACCTTCTCCAGCTGTCCTGTTTTGCTATACTTCTCTTCAGCAAAGACCAGATCCATCTCACTCACATCATTGTTCAGTATGAAACAAACTTTGGATTTATAGAATTCTGGGTCATCCGTTTCAAAATACTGTGTGAAAGAAAAAGGCAGCAGGGACATGGAAGGAAGAAAAAAAAAAAAATCAACATACACTGTTAACCAGGACTCTGGATCTGCTTTACTACACCAATGTTCAAGCTCTCCCCAGACCAATACAGGCTTCAGACAAGGCTGGGAAGCTTTACCTTGTAATGCATACGAAGTCCTATGATCTGAGCCAGGAAGGATCGGGTGAAGCGAGCTCGAACCAGTTGTTGGTAAGCACCTCCAAGAGATGATTCATAAAGACACTTTCCTACTAAACGGCCTGCAAATTCATACACTTTGAGTCGTAAATATGTGGGACGCCCTGGATTTGGATGCACCTGCAAAGAGGAAGCAAAATGAAATATCCAAATGCTAGACAAGACTAGCACAAACAGCAAGTATGAGACCAGTTCAAGTCATGACATCTCTCAGGCTGCTCAGGAGCTTGAATGCAATATCCTCAAAGTTAAGCAACAGAAATAAAAAGCCTGAAGCTGCCTAGGAAGAATACAAAATGTTTCATATGCACAGGCCAGAAGCTGTATGAAAGCAGAAATGGATTCTGAAACATTCAGACCCAACAAAACCTCCAGACACCCTGATGCCACCTCCTCTTCACCAGAAATCCCACCTTCCCTGCTGACTGGCCACCCTCTGATGCTCATCCAGTCAGTTCTTAGGCCCTTCAGTGGGTGAAGATCATTAAGCAAAGCTTTGAGAAAGGCATTGGAAGTGACTGTACAGGCAAGCTAAAGAATGGGTAAGGTTGCACACCACTTAATAGCAGCAGCATTATTTAACCATTGGCATATCAATGCACACATTTGTATGCATTCAGCATAGGAACTGCAGACTCACCAAGGCCTGGTTGTTATCACTAAAGCGGGTAAAGAGTTGACTGGTGGTATCAAATAATGCCTTACAGATGAGCTCAAACCACTCTCTGCGTGGACCTCCCCAGTCCAGAGCTACAAGATAAAACAAACTTGGTCATCCATGGGTCATCAGATCAAGAGTTTCATGCATGCTGCTCACTATTACCTGACATGAGAGCTCACTGCAGTGAACAGCTCCATAGAAAAAAGCAGAAGACAGGGACTCCAGAACTCAAGGTTTTGCTCCTAAACCTAGTTCTAATATTTTTTTCATTTGGGCCTCATATCCCTATGTAAAGTAGGGATTAGAATAGCATCAGAACTTAATTCACTAAATCTGTGAGAAAGTGAAAAGGCTGGAAAGCTACAAAGGATAGACATACTAGAAGAAACCAGAATTTCGGACTAAAACTACTCCACTATCATTCCTTTCACTTCTTCCTCATATATAGTGACAGGATAACTCACCTTCTTCATCCTGAAAAATCACTTCAAAGTTTTTGCTCCAGTCAGAAACAGAAAAATTTCGTGTTGCTTTAAAAGACTGAAAGAAAAAATATAGCAGCAGCCGTTACTGCTTGGCACCCTGCAACCAATAGGCAATCCTCCACATGTGATGGACAATTTAAGCAATACAAAAACCAAGAAACAGTCTAGTACTCTAAAGTATAAATGTGAGAATTAGGAACTCCTAAGGTCTAATTCTTACTTCTCTAAAGCCACAGAAGCCAATTCCTTATTTTCTATTTGAGACACATTACCCACAAAAATACAGCTCATCTTAAAACCAGTGTGAGATCTTAACACAGCACGGATGTATCCCTCTCAAAGCTGCAGTGCAGTATTGTTTAAAGTATTAAAATGCCTGTGGGAAGGAGCAATTTCTGCAAAGCACTCTCAGCCCACGAGTTAGATTTAAAAACAGGAACATTTCAGAGAGCAATAGAAAATAGCTTGAAGGGTTCACTGACTTCATACTTAAAGCAAGTCACGATGCAAAAAAGTAACAAAATATTTCAAGTGTCTAGAGCTTCCTGTGTCCCGATTTTGGATTCCAATTAAAGAAAATTTTAAAAGCTATACAGCAGTCCTCAGTCATAAAGGTAGCTTTGGCTTAGCTTATCTTCAAACAGGTTAGAGCATCACGCTAGTCACACCTCTGGGCTAAACACACAGGTCACATTCATTGTGCCTGTCAACCTTGGACACTAAAGCTTACAATTATTATGTCAATTTATTTTGTCTTATTAGGCTGTAACACCAGTGCTTATGACATGGCAGGAATTTCCAAAATAGTGGGGAAAAAATTGTTAAGGAAATACTGTTTAGAAGTCATTTTGTAGCAAGCTATGAAACGAAACATAACCTTGTAAACCTGCAAACTCTTATGTGCAGAAAATATTTCTAAACACAGATTTACTGAGTGTAAATCAAGGGAAAGCCTAGCCATTCCTGCTTTCCCCAGAAATGTTCTTTTCCATCTTTATAAGATTACTGTTGAGACTTGTGAAAACAGTAAGTCAGGATAACTGCCCGCCCTGCATACACAGTATTCAGAATGTCAGTTAAGAGCTGTATTACATGAATGACTCTTTCGGAAGTTCCATTTTGGAAACACATCAGCTTAGGTCAGCATCAGCAAAAACTTAACCCAAGGACTCTATGGAATATTTTATCATCCACTGAACCACTGCTAGAAGCCTGTCAATACATGAGTTTCATGCACGCAGCTCAGTAACACCTGACTTTACTGCTTATCTTACTGAATGGCTCTGTACCAGAAAAACAGTACACACAGACTCAGAAGCTCTAGGTTCTGCTCCCAAGTCTGCTCCAGGTAGATAGTCTCTCTCTGGGCCTCTGGTTCCAATGTAAAGTGGGGACAAGAATAGGACCAGCAGATTCCTGCTTTTACAGGCTATGCATGTATTTACCCTAGATATCTCCCAGGGCTTGAGTTCCTTAAAAATTTATCAGAGATGAAGTTTCCTAATTACTTAAGAAATTGATCTCATCTTACCAGCTGTAGAGAAGGAACACACAATACCAAACCTGAACATGGAGGAGCTACCTTGAGATAATTTTTTAAGATTTATTTCTCCCATTTCAAGCTGTTTACTGGCATCTGCCTTGAAACAGAAGGACTAATCATTTTTAGCACGGTTGCCCTAGTACATGCCGGTTTGGATTTCTTTAGGCACTGAGCAGAAGGAAAAGGATGGAGGAAGCATTGGGCTTAAGCAAAGTGACCTATACACTCACCGACTCCAGCAGACAGTGACGGTTGACCTTTAGTGTGACCTTCAAATGAGGTCTTCTCATATGCACCTGACGTAGCTCTCGCTGAAAGAAGGTCACTTTGTCCTGGAAGGTCTCTGAGCCTCCTGAGAACAGTGACAATTTGGGTCAACATGTTGAACATCTAGAAGGCATTCCTAAGACTAAATACGTAGGTCAGCTTTACAGACCAAGGATGAGTTTATTACAGCAAGGTTTGAAGACAGAACTCTAAAGGGAGTTTGCAGTTAGCCTTGCTGACATTCAGATACTCACAGGTGTGCTTTCAAAGAGCCTGACAGAAAAGCCAAACTGAAAAGGAATAGCTGGCACGATGAAATACATTCACTAGAAACACCAACCAGAACAGAACATGAGACTCCAGGAATCAGAGTTCTCATCAGAGGTCAGTCAGTGCTGGAAATCTTAATTCCCTGGGAAAACTAACAGACTCAAGTGCTAACTTCCTGACAACTGCACCCACCTCACCACCTCTTTACCTATGTTTTTATGCAGAGAGCGAATGAAAGTGGCTGCCAAGATGTTCCTCTTCTTGCAGCTGAGCTCCACAGGAGGTTGGATCCCATCATCCACCACCAGTGTCAGTAATTTGTGCACAGGGTCAGGACCAAGGTATGAAAACTAGCAGCAAAAAGATGCAAGAAAGGGTAAACCCATCATGCAGAAGGCACAGCATGTACAGCAGACAGAGCAACACCACCTGCACCCTAAGACTTTTTCTGCTCACCCATGCAGATGCAGTCAACAGGAATACTATTTCAGGCATCCAGACTCCAGTTAGGATGTTACTTCAAACTTTGCATCCTAGCTTAGGGGTTTCAGTGGACACAGTCACAGCATTTTAGCAAGGTTATGAGAAAAATAAGAGAAATACAAAAGAATCAAGATTTTTGCCTAGCATTGGGACAAAAGGCAGGGAGGAGTGATACAACTAGCTCCTATTCATAAATAATATCAGAACTTAGGCACTGAGGGGAAATTCCAGAGTTGAATTTTACATAACAAAATGTTGCTTCTCTCCAAAAGGAAAAATCAGACTGTCATTCACAAGGTCCACAAGCTAACAATATGGAAGTGCAGTGACAGCTACAGGGAAGGAGGCTCACCTTTGTGCCAGGACATACTCTAAAGGTGAAAAGGCGCCATGGAATGATCTTCAGGTAGAATTCTTTCACTGAGAATTGCTGAGTAATCACAAGGAAAAGAAAATGTTAAAGGTCACATCTGTTAATGGTTGTTCCTGAAACACATGAGGCACAGAACAGATTGATAAAGCCAGACCTCCCTCCAACCCCAGGGACAGGTTTCTGCAACATTTGGTGACATCTTCTTCTGGCACAATACAGAAAAACCTTTAGAGCTGTACAGAATCGTAAGCAACTTCTAAGACTTTACTGTGTGTATTCACAACACAAGTAGGATCACAGCATGACACAGATTTTAGAGCAGTAAGCCACTCTGTTCAGTAGAACATCACCAGTCTGATTGGAAGGCAATGTTAAATACGCTTGAGAGGCTGAATTCAGGACAAGTTTGTAATGCATTGACAAAAAAGTTTTGGAAAAAGTCACATTAACAAAATCATTGCTACTATGCCCTAACTTTCACAACCATTTCAAACAACTTTTTAAAAGCACTTGCAATTGCTAAATCCAGGAGATTTGCCATAATTTCTTCTCAGTCTATTTCTGCCAGAACAAATAACTACTAACTGTGGAACTGTCACCTTCTGGAGAACAAGCTAGGATGAAATTTTAGCATCTTTAGACAAAACATAAAACCATTTTCCCCACAAGCCTGTTCTAGCTGCAATGACTGGAAAAATCTACTAGCAACATTTCTCCAGAAACAAAGAAAATATGAACAGCAACCCCTTAGAGAAATAACAGCATAGTTATCTACCGTACAGGACAGATACTCTAGGTATATAGAGATATCTAGGGATACAGTTACACAAACATCAGAATCATAACAACTTTGACAACTAAAGGGAACCTGCAACAGTACCCACTTCTGGTGATCTCCTTTACCAGGCAATGCAATAGAAAATAGTACAAAAGTCCAGAACAAGGATGAAATGATGCTGAGCTCACAAGGACTCAGCACTCATTCCCACAGTCAGTTCTTAGAGCTGCATGCAGCAGAGATTTATAAATCCCTCCATCTTATAACTGTTTCATAGCCCTCTCTGTCAGGAAAGAAATCCCTGGATTAGTCTTTCATTTTGATATTTATCACTGCATTTTTCAGAATGTATTCAGATTGGTAGATTAACAAAATAAATTTAAATTTATTGAAAGATTTAGTGTAATTTTCTTTCTAGGTTCCTTGAATGCTCACAGGCAATAGTAAGTTTCTGTTAACATATTCTTACTGTAAGAGAATCCTCAGTGTCTCTTGACTTGCTTTAATCCTGTTCCTTATACATTTAACCTTTGTAGTACTCTGTCCATTTTTTTCCCCTTTTCTTTTCCCTGAAACATTCAAGAAACACGACAAAGTCATAAAATCCGGGAATCTCTAAGTTCCAACCTACAGGTATCAGAAACTGAGAAAGGGAATTGCAAGTCTGACCTGACCAGAGCAAAGGAAAGGCAGAGTATCTATTGAACCATCAGGGAGAAAATTCCCAGTAGGCTTTGGATCAGACCTAGAAAGACCCACGGAGTCCTAAAACTTCAAGGAGCATTTTAACATTATTCTCAGTCACGAGCTCCATATTTGCTGTCTAGCCTTAAGCAAACCTTTTTTAACCAAGTCTGAGGCACCTAAGCCTAGGATAAAGGGCACAAAGAAGGTCTTCAGCTGCAGCGTACTTTAAACATGCACTCAAAAGCAGTAACTTTGTGCTATCTACCTTAGGTGACACATAGCAGTACACTTTTTTAGGTTTCTTCACTTTCTCCGGGGTTTGGCTGTCAGAGGGAGAATCTTCATCTTCATCCTCAGTTGCAGTAGAAGGACGGCGCTGGGAGGAGCTCAGGTGCGTTGGAAGTTGCCACTGAGTGTTGGTATAACTAGGAGCATCGTAAAGGTAGGCTTCAAAGTAAATACCAACACCTGAGGTGGACACATTGTGTTCTACAATGTTCTGTTCATTCTCTGAGGGAAACAGATATAAGAGTTGTGTAAATGTTAATGGAGACCAGAATCAAAAAGTAAAGAATCCATAGACCACCACCAAATTAGTTACTATGATTTTAAAGAAAAGGCTACACTTCTGAAGGAAAACCTGGTAAAGTAAAACTCTGATAAAGAGAACCCGGGAGTGGAATGCAAAAATTTCAAGATAGCAGTTTGTCTGTCTTGTCTTCAGGCAGTGACTGGTTGAAATAAAAAGGAAAAAAGCATACAGAATATCTCTCTCAGAGAACCAGCCTGAATGCATAGCCACATTGCAGACTGGCTCACTCCTGAAGAAATCAGGTATTATAAAATTGTAAAAAAGCACATAGGTTACACGCAGCATTCTTCATCCATGTAGCTTAGCATACAATACATGACTGGCTCACTTCCAGTATGGCTCAGATGCCAAGAACTAGCAAGGAATAAAAATTGCTTAATTTCAGAAGTTAACCTCCTGAGACAGGGGTAAAAACACACATGCTTTTATCTGCTGATGGAACAGAGAGTGTCAGCCTTCAGAAATTTCCCTCGTCAGCAGCAAATTCATTTACTGTAGCATTTTTAAATGAATAGGCATTGCTTAAGCAATTAAGCATGGCTAGTCCAGGGAAGCCACATTTAGCCCTGCTACAAAAGAGCAAAAAAGACTGTGCAAAGCATCTTGTAAGAGGACACCGGAGAATGAATACTGAGCAGTTCTTGACTCACCACTTAGAACAATGATGTCAAAATCACCATTGCTAATGGGCTTGTTCTGGTAGGAGATGCAGGCATGGAAACAACCCCTACAGTGCAAGGTGAATCGGAAGAACACTTTGCAAGTCTGCCGATTGGACACCACAGACTTCTCAAACACAACATCGGAGCTCTCTTCTTCTTGAGGACCCAGCTAAACAGAAAACAAAATAATGAAGGGGACTCCTTATTATATATCATTTATATTATATATATATATTACTATACATATTATATTATATATATTCAGGCTCACCTGAATTCAAGCAAGGGATGAGGTTGCACTCACCTCATAGATGGAGAGGCTGTAATTGTGCTCATCTATCAGGGACACAGAATTGCTGGTGGGATTGTCATACTCATCTCTGGGAACTATCTGCAGAGTGTGCTGCTGCCCACAGGTCAGCACCAGAGTGGAGAAATGGCAGACAATTTTGGTTTTGGAGGGAACCACCATCCCTGAATCAGACAACAACAGTTTAGAGTCAAACAGATTCCACAGTGAAGCTACAAAAAGCAAATAAAAAGCAACTAGGGGCACAATACCCTCAAAAATGAATCAAATCTAAGCACATTCTATGCCCCCACATTCAAAAAACAAAGTATCTGAGCACTGAAATACATGCTGTGGTGCACAGGGTTTGCCTTGGGTCAGAAACTTAATACTGATAAAAGCAAACCCAGTTACTAGCCCTCTAAAGAATGATTTTTCCATCATTCTAAGCTTCAGCTCAAGAACTTGCTCCCACAGCACATATAAAGTACACCTCAGCTAACATGCAAGGAAACCTGCAAAGTCAGTTTACCAAGCAAACTTTAGCCTGTACAGTATTTGAGTTAAGTCTGAGCTTCTTCTTTCTGAAGGGGTATCTTACCAATCTTTGTATCTATTCACAATGCAGTGGAATAGAAGTACTTTCAATGAACATGTACATGAAATATAAAAGATGCCAACTGGGGTCAAAAAACAAAAGTAGAAGGAAACAAATTTAAAATGGATAAAAAAGGAAATGTCTTTAAAGAAGTCTATAATCAAAGGTATCAACTGTTCCAGGACTCTAAAGGAATAGAGTAGGGTATTTAAAAGAAGAAGAGTCGAATCATGACAGCATTTCCCATTCAATAACTCAATACCTTCAGAAAAGGCATTTTCTTACTACTAGGTGGATCATAAAGAAGTTACTGCAAAATGGAGAACAAGACACAAGTGGTTAGGGAGCTTAAGCAGCACTAATGACTTATTCTGTAAGGCAGTTGCTATTTTGCCACGTACTGGTAGTCACAAGTATGTTTTAGTCATGGGTCTACTGCTGGGATCTACACATGGTAAGAGGAAAATGGTGAAGGGTAACCCTTTCCCTGTCACCTACCTATTTTAGCTGGAAACACATTTACCTAACTCCCTCCAATACCTCCAAAACCTCCAAATCTACTATGAATCATTAGATGGCCACTTAGACCTTACCTGGCTGGAACACCTTGTAATAGGGGCTGTAGGCCACATTCAAACCACCAAGTTTTACAGTGATCTCGTATCTCCCAGCCCTGCGCACAGTGAAGGCCACTTTCACCACATTGGAATTAGGCTCCTGAAGAACTTCCTGGGTTACAGGAATATCAATTTCTAGCTCCACATGGCAGATGTGAACTCGCAGCTCCACAGGCCGGCGAGCAGGGAAGGGTTGCCCATTTTTATAAAATAACTGCATGGGAAATGGAGAAGTCCAGGTCAGCAAAAATATGCAGTACACAGAGGAAGAGAATGCAAGTCGCCTTGGGGAAACAAGGGCAAGAACCTCAGCTCAGCAAATGAAACAAAATTAAGAGCCAGCTCCGTCACATAGGCTGTGATCTCTGAAGCAAACAGAGCACAAGTGGTCATTGAACAGCCTCATTCTCTTTTGTGCTGGGGTTCAAATGAGTGCCCTGGAAAGAACATGCCTCTAGCCATTTCTTCTCTGCACTGTTAGTGCAATACCAGAGCAGAAACCAAGAGGACCCACTAGCAAAAGGAAAAAGGCAAAGCCACACCCTTTCAGAGAAATGAAGCCGATCTTGTCCATTTGTACAGCTAAGCTCTGGAAAAGCTCTCACCAGTTTGTTACAGAAAACAGTGTGGAGAAGATGCTGACCTAAGGAGCTGACCCAGTCTGTACTGTTAAGAAGCATCAGCATGAAAACATGTTAGATAAAAATCACAGGCAGTTCAATCACAAAGTGATCTGACAGACAATTTCAGAAGGTAACATACCTCGATCAGTACTTCCTTACAAGGAAAGAATTACACTTTAAAACTCTATGTGCATGGCTCCTCAAGAGCTGGCAGCTTGTGGGCTAGATCCTGCCTGCCATCTGCAGTCAGCAAAAGGTTACTATTATTCCCTGTTTCTAAATGAGGGAGGGCGTGGGGCCTGAAGTAGTATGTATTTTGACCGTCAGTGAGAGAAACCACTGCATGCAACAGCTACTGTTAATGAATAAAGGGCTAAACAAATGGGAGACAAGCATGAAGTGGAAGGGCATGTTGCTAGAACTGCCATGAGAGTCAGCAAGGTGAAGGGAATAAATTTAAACAGCAGGAACAGAACAAGCCCCTTTCTCCTCAGGTTTTTCACTGCCTGCCCTGGATCTAGAACTCCTCACTTGCCCTCAAGCAGAAGGGTTTCCCTCACCTTCCTGAGAGGGATGGGGCATGGCAACCTAGCTGAACATTTCTTCTTATTTTGATACTCTTCTGGGTGGGAAAATTGGGGCATAAAGGTGGGCACATGAGCCCAGCAAAACCTGTTCAAACTTTCTCCACACAGCTCCAAACTCCCAGTGTTCAGGTCCCTCACCCCTCTTATTTGTATAGTTGTCCTATTGTCCTAGACATGGCCTTTTGGGACTGGAGAGAAAACGAGTCCTTGGCAGGCTTTTCCAGGTCAGACAGAATAACATTCAGTTTTGGAGGAACAGGGAGTCACCATGAAGCTTCACAGCTCTTGCGTTGGTAAAATGCCCACTCCCACACTCCCAACCTCAGCTGCACAACCACAAGATAGCACCAAGTCTGTTTAAGGCAAGGCTCGGCCCACTCACTTCCCAGTAAAGGAAGCAGTAGATAGGACAAGCCTCATCTCCTCTGCTCCTCAGAAGATTCTAAAGAGAGGGAGGTAAGATTTTAAAGAGTGCAAACCTCAGATATGCACTTACAGAGTTCTGCAACAGAGTTACAGGGGGCAGAAGACAAACAGATAACTTTCCTACTCCTAAATTACATCCAGCTTGTCCCCAACAAAAAATATTTGAAGAGCCCATCCCTAACTCAGAACTCTGTTCCTGCCCCCAAAACTGCATGGAAACAGAAATATTCCCTTACATGCACTCGGAAGGCCATGCTATGGCCCACCTCATAGGGGTCCTTCCAATCCCAGGAGATTTTGCAGGACCGGGGATCCAAGTAGTTGCCTCGCACGTAGTCATAAATAGTTCGCTCCCCTCGGCGTTCCCGGTCCTCATGCTGAAGGAAGCTGACTATACGTGCGGCAAGCTCAAAGAGGAACTTAATGGTGAAGAAGAAAGCTACCACAGATATCGTGATCCCACCTGCAGCAAGGAGAGAACAGAGTGTGGTTGCAGCAGCATGGCTCAGTCAGGTACCAAAATCCCCTCTACATCAGCTCAAGATACTTTTCATTAATGAAATTCTACTCAATTGCAAATTAGGTGTTTAAGACAGAAGCTATTGTGTGAACACTTACAGTCTGTGATAATGCTAAAAGGTTAGAGAATAACAAGTCCCTTAAAAACTCTGCAAATGACTGCAAACAGAGGAAATAGGTAAGGGTGGTACAGAGTCCTGGGTATGGCTAGCAGATATCCCAACAGAAGCATGGAATTCCCTTTCAGCTGTGAATTAGCACTACAGAGATTCCTTCAAGGGATACAGTCATATAGCCACACAACCCCTGCACATCACATTAAGGCTGGATTAAGAAGCATCACAGAGACAACCCTGCACTAGTTCTCAAAAGAAAAAGTAACAGGATGTCTTAGGAATGAGGTCAATGGAAGAACTTTAGTAACAAGAAAGTGGAGAGGCAAGTCTGCCAGGTGGAGAGCACAGTGTGGGGTGACAGTAACTTCATGTTTGTTAGGTAGACTGATTAAGATGAAAGCAGAGGCCTTCAAGAAACCATTCTAAAGCCTATGGAGAGATCATCAAATACAGTGGCAACCTTTCCTTCACTTACCAATAATGTAAAACATCAGGTCCCTTCGGTGAGACACACAGCCGAGGATCACAGCTGCATCTAGAACACAAAATAGGCCAAGTCCAGTCCAGTGACTCTTCCTCACACACTGCCCTAATTTTAATCTACGATTCCTCAGACAAATACCTACTGATCATCTATCTTCCTCTACAAGGGCATCCCTAAAGCATTATTCCATGAGACTGTGAAATATGCAAACAGCACAGCATGCTACAAGGAATAGTTCTCCATCACAGACTGCCATTTAGATTCAGGGACCTATAAGGAGGACAACATGTTATCCTCAGAAAACAGTGAGAGCAGGCTCCAGGTACTGCAAAAAGGAGCTAATTTTTGCAGGATCACCAACTCTGACAGCAGAGGCCAAAAGCCACTCATCCAAAAATCTCACACCTACTTGCTTCTGCAAGTCACAAAGTTAACTTCTAGTCTGCCATGAAAGCACATCACAGAGCCACCATCAAAATGGACAGAAGCTGACCCTCAATCAGTAACCTTAGAAAAAGCTATGGAATAGAAGGGTTGCAAAGACAACAATCCCCATTTGTTCAGAACAAACAAAATCCTTCTAGAGCAGAACTGAATCAATTTTTTGCATTGTAACTCTACTATGGAAATTATGAGTCCAACTAGAAAACAGTCCATCTGTATTTTCCTACTCAGTTCTGCAAAGTGAAGCCTCTCCACTGAAACTCTCGCTGATCAACACACAAGCTAAAACCTTGGTTCTATACACTATTAAGATTACAGCAATTTTTAGAGACACCAACCTAGAATCAAGCTCTCACCAAGGGTACTGCTAATCAAACATGTAGTAAAAAGACCACACCCAAAACAACAACATGTTGTTTGGTTGCTAAGACATAGCTGACAGATGGAACAAGAGCAGCAGCAAGGAACATGTGTGACAATTAGACAAACAATTTGGCATACGCTAATGCATAGAATATAGCTCGCCACGTCACCATTCAGTTAGTGAGAAGCCACATTGTGCATTCAAGCTGCTTTTTTTTTTTTTTTTTTTTTTTTTAAACAAACACAAAAGGGGAGTTATTCATCTGTCATCTCAACAGCAGCAGCAATGGACATCAGCATGCAGAAAGTTTAAATGAGGTACTTCCCACCAACAATAGCCATAACTTTCCAGCCCAGCAAATCCCCTTTGCTGGCCTCCAAACATTCCATCCCTCCAATTAAATTGCAATCACATACCTTTATACAAGTGCCCACGTTCTAAAAGCCAAAAGGGGGTACCTATTCTTCAGCATCCTTTCTCTTTGTGCCCAACACTGGGGCAAATGTCAGCAAGAAGAAGTCATAGAGAAGCCATTCACAGAAAGAGAAACTTCTAGAACTTGCATCACAGCACAACTGCTGAAAGGTGAGGACCTGAGCACAGCAATTTCTTCCTCTTTGTGGAAAACGGTTGTCCTGCAATGCTGCTCCCTGTAGCCTGTTGGTTGTTAGCTTCCCTGGAAAAAGAAAAAAAGAGCAAAAAGTTTGATCTCTCCACTGTTGTGGACAAATCTATCAAGTTGAAACACGTGAGAGGTGTAAGATGCAAGAGTATTGCTATACGTCAAATCCATAGGAGGCACTGCTGTTGACAAGTTGCTAGGCTTCACCATATCCTCAACCTCCACCTGCCATAATCTCATTTCATTATGTGACCCCTTGAAGCTATCAGGTTCAAGACGGAACAAAACACATCCTGCCTCCATAGGTTTCATCCAGCTCACGGGTTTCATGGAGCAGCTAAGAACCCGTGCGCTATTCATGAGGAGAGCTAAGGATCAGGTACCACTACAAGCCTTCACAACCCACAAAATGTCATGTACTATTCTCAGACGGATTTTGCCCAGATCTAGAGGGCTACTTATAATCAAGTCTAAAACAAACCAAAACAAACAAAGTTCTCGGACCCCAAAGTAAACTAGATAATTTTTTCTGCTGCTGTTGTTTTAGGTGTTCAGGAAAACAGTACCCTCATAAGGCATTTCAGTTTCAGCAGCACTATCCACTAAATCACAGTTTAGTGTCAGGATTGAGATTAAAAAAATAAACATCTAAGAGCAAGGATTGATGCAGCCCACAAAACCGAGGACGTACACCAGAAAAAAAGCCACAGAGCCTACACAGTTGGTATCCACTCATTCAGAACACAGATTATATAAAGGAGTGAGAATGAAATGGACAGACCCAGGCTCGGTACCACAGCAGCTGTCTGTAAAGACAGTCACCTCTTCTGGTGATCTAAGTGATGTGCTCCTCCTGCCTGCCATACCAACACCTCAGCTGCCACTTCCTCCTTACTCCCCCCTCTTCCACCTTCCTCTTCAGATGTCTCTTCTTTTCTTCCATCCCAATAATCACACAGATCTGGCTGCCTTTGCACACTTACACTAAGCTTTCTAACACGTATGAAAACCGACAGGTAACTGCAGAGCTCTTTGCACTGTAGAAGCAGATAGACTCTCTCTGTCTTTTCCTCCTCCACATCTCAAGGAAAATCCCACCCACTCAGCTATTTTCTTCTTCCTCTGCTTGAGCGAACAGTGTTGCAGCCCTCAGGACATACGTTCTCATTTTTCTCCTAGATGAAGCTTCAGGTTCCTAAACTCATATCTCTGTGTATTAAGAATTACAGACCTAGCAATTTCCTTGATGTTTTAGTTCTTTCACAGTACATACCCAAGATGTGCTACAAATGCCTGGTTGAAACTCTGCTCCAGCTTGGCCTGGCTGTGGAAGGTGTGTAATGGCTCCTTACACAGCTGAGGAATTTCTCAGAAACTTAACAAAGTTTGGAAATCTATGAGATCTCCCTCCAGCATTTTACAGAACCAGTCTCTTCATGTCACCAAAAAAACATCAACGCAAAACATGCCCTGTGGGTTCATCTACCCAAGCTATTTCTGCCTGTCCATAACTCCTCTCCTTCTGTAAAGCATACCACATGTCACACAGCCTCTCTTTTGACAGTACAAAACCAGAAAGAGCCATAATTTCCACTATAAGGGTTTTTAAGTCAATTGAAGCCTGAGTCTCTTGATCCGGATTGCAGAATTTCAGAGCTTGCTGGACACAGGGGATTAGTTATCTCCCTCAATCAGCACTGCAACTTCTCATTATATTACCTCATGAAATGGTAAGCAAGACACCAAGTCAGGTGGCCACCAGAGATGAAGTGGCTATCAGAATCAACTTCCCTCTAGTGATACACACTGCCAGAAGCTTTAAGGATGCTCTTAGAGCCAGGACACATTGGGGTAAAGAACCTAGTTGCGAGTAGCTGGTATCCAAGATATGTTGCCACTCATCAGAATGCAGATCTAAATTAAAATAGTAACTGTGCTTAGAACTGCCAACTAACAATCTGGGAAACAAATTCTGAAAATCAGCAATATAATGTGCCATTGTAGACAGGCTGGAAAAAATGCTGAATTGTCCGACAGGTCTTAGTGATCTTGATCCAAGGACAGAGTAAGCAATGGTCTCCTGCCATCTGCAGGGAAAATGGGGATTTGGAAAGCTTCACCTTGGTTTGACTCAAGGAGAATTACTGGCATAATCGGGACAGAAAGCATGGAATCATAAAATAAACTATATTAGCGCCATTGCTTCTCTCAAGTCAGCAAGAAAAGGAAGGCCAGTAATGGGAATACATTATGTCTATATTACTGCTGCTGTGAAGCCAGAGGAATACAGTGCAAAGCTCCAGAAGGAAGCATAAGTATAGCTGCACATACAAAACAATCAATAACACAGTAATGGCACATTCATGTGGCTACAGGTACAAAGCAAGTTGGGGGAATGCTATACAGAACTGATTTACTGAGGTCCTAGGAAATCTGTTGTGCCTTGGGTTTTTTTCAATGCACTAATAAATTTAGCTTCCTTTCTTCTCTCCCCTGACAAGTTCCAAAATTAAGAAGAAAGACAGGTTTAAAACCTTTCTGCAGATTGGTAGTACCTCATCCAGCCAAGATGAGAGAACCCTTATTTTCTGTGCAGAACATCCTCTCCATCCATGTGCACAAATGTCCACCACCAATGGCACGTGCATCTCATGCCACACACAAGATGGTAATTCTCTTTTGAGTGAAAAGGCACAGTATTTTCTCACACCAAGTAAAGCATGCACAAACCAACAAACAGGAATGCCCATGGAAACCTAACTTTAAAAGACACAGAAGACTGAAGAGTCAGCGCAAAAGGCACTAAGCAGACTCTCAGCTGTCAAGGACAAAAGCCACATCAATGGCCAGTGTCCATACAAAGCAGTCATTCTCTCATCAGGGCTAGAATGTCATATGCATTTACACACAAGCCAAATAAAATAGTGGCAACAAGAAAAAAAAATATGGGAGACTTTTGCCAACCACCTAAGTCTACAGCCTTTTCATTGCAACTGAACCACCAGCAGGGCTGTCAGCTCCTAACTGTCCTCCTCAAATAGAGCAAGCCAGTCAGATAGCAACTTTCTAGCCATCTAGTCTCATCTTGACACCAGATCTGCTTCCCAAGCCACAACAACATTCAGACACTTGCCACTCTACATGCCTGTGGGGACAGTAAATCACTCCCTTCCTCCTCACTTATTTCCTTCAACCAAACCACTTGGGTCACTTAAGCAGCATGAGTGGAGCTCTGCCAATTGTGTTTCTTCACCCAACAATAAGTCTGATACAATCACCCAGGTGAAAAGGTCAGTCTCCTTCTGGTCTAATTTTCTTCCTCATTGTCTAATTTTCTCAGTCAGCTGTACTGAGCCTAGTCACTGTACAGGCCAGCACTTCAGGAAAAGCCTCCTGCATAGTACCGCACTGGCTGCATAGCTGCTTTTTCTGACCAGCACACTAGATAAAACCAGTTGCATTTGGAAGACACCAATAGCTACAAGTTCTCACTAATCCCAGAACCGTGCATGAGAAAGATAACTGGAAGGTCTCTCTCTCACCCTTCCCTGCACAGGGCACTGGAAACCAAGTACCCAGGACTAGCATGAGAACTTCGAGAATGTTTCCTTACATGTGCAGAAAAGATATTTTGGATCAGACTATACCATTATGGCTGCAGAAAGCATAACTGAAATTATGCTCCCTTATTAAGGCCTCAGGTCACAACTGTTAGCAAGCTCTACAGATAATGACATCCCACCGTTTTTCACAAAGAAGCTCACGAGCTAGAGCGGAGCAAAGCTAGCATCACATTAATTCTTCAAAACATGTCAGCCCAGCAAGCGTAAGAAAGTGGGCTGAAGACCTGAGTGACCTCGTAGCTCCACAAAGCAAAAAACAAGTGGGAAGGAGGGCGATCGGTGTGTGGGTTCCTCCTGCAGCCCGCACCAGCTGTAGCTCGGTGGGGCCACCAAGCCCCGCGGCCTTTCCACAGGCGCCAACCCCGCAACCCCCGCGACACGCCACCCATACAGCGACAGCGCCGTGCAGAGGGCACGGCGCTACCAACAGCGAAAGGCAGAAGC